CCGTCTCGGGGGGGGGAGCCAATGAGCAGGTGGGGGTGCCGCTCTCCCGGGGCGGAGCAGGGCAGGTGTGGGATCGTCCCCTCACCCCCACATGCCCTGCCTCCTCCCCAGGGGGCCTTCTGGGGCCTGATGGCGGGGCTGGCTGTGGGCGCCACGAGGCTGGTCCTGGAGTTCCTGCACCCGGCCCCACTGTGCGGCGAGCCCGACCTGCGGCCCGCCCTCCTCCGCAGCATCCACTACCTGCACTTCGCTGTGGCCCTGTTCGCGCTCAGCGGTGCTATTGTGGTGGCCGGGAGCCTCCTGACCCCACCTCCCCAAGATGATCAGGTGAGCCTGCCCACCCGACCCTGCCTGTCATCTGAGCCTGACCCCTAGCAATTTGTGACTCTTGACCCACGGTGGCCTCTGAACCTCTCTGACTCTAGACATTTATTTATTTATTTTGGAGAAGTTTTTGGTATAGGGCATGTGCTCTTGCCAGAAAGACAGAGAGAGACAGACAGCCAAAAAAAAAGAAATCACACCCCGGGGGGGATGGCCACACTGCAATCCCTTCTCCTCCATTCTCCTGTTGGGATCTTGGGCATGCACGCACACACATGTGCCCGGTGTTGAATTTTAAGCCACCGGGTCTGGGACTCGAACCACAGTCAACTACATGGGAGTCCAGCAACATAGCCATTACGCTAACTGCTGGTCCCATAGAATTTTCTAACCTCTGACTTCTAACCTCTTTTCTAACCTCTAAGCTCTGACACACACACCCCACTTTGTGAACTCAGCTGACATATTTCCATCACAAAGCCTTGACCTTGCCTGGGTCTACCTTGCCCTTCCATGCCCCCATCTCCCCCTCACCCCTGCAGATCGAGAACCTCACCTGGTGGACCCTGGCTTGGGACCTGCCCTTGGGAGCCAAAGGTACGTGTGTGACCCCACGCACTGCCCCTCGGGCCTGCCCGAGGCTGGGCCTGGAGGCCTAGGTCTGGGTGTAGCCTTGTGTCCCTGGTCTACCTCTCTCCCCACTCCCTCTAGGTGACAGCCAGACGCCCAGGAAGCGTGCTTTTTGGGCCCGCGTCTGTGGCGCCAACGCCATCCTCCTCATGTGCGTGAACATCTTCTTCTATGCCTATTTCGCCTGACACCACCACCCCCGGGAAGGACGCAGGGGCCCTGAGGCCTCAGCCAGCCCCCTTCCCACTGAGAAGGGCCAGGACCCAGGACTGACCAGCCAGCACCGCAGGAGCTCCGGATAACTAGGGGGAAGTGGGGAGACAGAGTATGACATAAAATAGCACCAAACACCCATAATCAGGAAGAAAATCAGACTCTTGACGGGCACCCTTGTCCTGGCTGTATGGTTTTTATTTCAGATGCACCAGCCCGGGTCAGGAGCAGCATACTCTGCCAGAGCTTGGGGCTCTGAGGGTCCTGGGTCAGCCTGGGTGGAGCGGGTCCCCTCATGCTCACCATGGGTCCTCCCGACAGCAGCCTCCTTCTTGGGCCAGCAACCCAAAGGCGCCCCACGGCCCCACAGCGTCCCATGGCGCCCGCAGCTCCACGCCTTCCCTTCCCGCACCTTCAGCCCGCATTCAGGCCTCGCCAAGCCCTCCTCCTCTTCCCTGCTCCCAGAGGTGACCCGGCTCCAGGCAGGGGTGAAGGTTTCGTCAGACATCCAGCCCCTGCCAGGCTGCCACCCCTTTCTGGATCCCATCGGACCTCCAAAGCCCCAACTTTTCTGGCCTGTGGATTGTGCTGCGGCCCCCAAGCTGCCTGGGCCCTGTCTGGCCAGAACCTGGGCCCAAACAGGAAAGCCAGTGCAGCTGGCCCTGGGCCACCCTGCGCTCATCTGAGTGTGGGCAGCAGGAAAGAGTCTGAGCCTCTTCACTTCTTCCCAACCCGCCCCTTCCTGGGGGTCTCAGGGCCCTCCCCCTCCCCAAGGAGGCCAGGTGGGCGGAAGTCACAGGTCCACCCGGAGCCTGCCCAAGTCCAGCTTTGAAACAAGTGTGCAGCCTGGCCCGGGACTGAGCCACCCCCCATCTTCCCGCACAGTCAGAGGGGCCTTTGGGAGACCGGCAAGCAGGCCCAAGGGGAACCCACCCACCAAGCCTGGAGTTTCTCGCTGGAGCCCCTGCAGGGTGGGATCCAGGACCCCTGGGTCCTCTAGGTGGCCAAGGCCACTGACAGGAGGAGGTGGGGCCTCAGCTGCCTCCTGGCGACAGCCAAAGGGGAGCCCCGGACCTTCCCACTCCTCATTGTCACCAAACACGCTGCAGTTCTGGGGCACCAGGGGCTGCCCAGTTTGTGTGGAGTAGTCAGAGACAGGAGGCCACGTTCAGCCCGGTCCCCGCGGAGCTCGTGTGGCCCACTGGCGGAGCGGCGCTGCTGTCCTGGTCACAGGTGCACCGGCTGAACGTAGCTCCGCGGGAAGAAGCCCACGCGCCCGCAGGACCGGCCCCGCCACCAGTGGGGGTCGGGGCGCTCCAGGACCTCGATGATGTCACCGCGGCGGAAGCTGATCTGTGAGGGGTCCTGGGCCGAGAAGTCAAACTGGGCCTGGACATAGCAGGCCCGGGGCGCCTGCCAGGGGAGGACGTGGTTAGTGGGGTACCTTGGGAAGCCTTGAGATGGCTCCCGCGAGGATCCCGGGAAAGGAGTGATTGGTCGAAGGTGGGGCGGGGTCTTGGCGCAGCGCAGGGGTGGGACTCAGGCTGCGAAGAGTCCGGAGCTTCCCCAGGGCGTCCAGGGCCGGGACAAACGCTGCATCTACAATACACAGAACTTTCCCACGGACCACAGGACTGGGGTCAGGGCGCCCTGTCTCTCTTGGGGTCTCATTTCCCTGGCTCCCAGCAGCCCTAACCCTGACTCCGGGCCACGCCACTGTGGAGTGGGCCTTACGGACTGCTGGGATCCAGGCTGTGAGCCCGGGTTACTGCTGTGGCCCGCCCCTTCCAGCTGCTCCCAGCTCTCAGGCCTGCGGGTGACCTTGGGTACATCCCTGCCCTCGTCCCCACGCTGCGCATGGCAGATGGACAGGAGCTCACCCAGAGCCCCTCTGTCCCCCAGGTCAGCTCTAAGCCTGCGGGATCCCCGCCAGGACAGGGATAGGATCAGCCGAGGCTGTAATTTGCAGTCCTCTACCCAGGAGGGAGGAGGCGGGAAGGGTCTCAGGGAACCGAGCCAGCTCTGACGCTCTGCAGTCAAACCGAGGTGGTGGTGCTGGCCCCCCCCCCTCCATCCTGCTCCCTCCCACCGACCAGGGCGCAGGGGGGGGCGGGGGCGCGGTCTGGGCGGCAAGGCCCACTGGGCATGCGCGGCTGGCCTCCACCCTGGGGTCAAGCTGAGGTCAGCAGGGGATGTGCAAAGCGGTCTCCTGAGTCCCTGGGTGCCCCCAGGTGCATCCTATTGGACAGAGGGGAAACTGAGGCCCAGCTAGGAATGGACAGGCCCTGACGTCACATGGCAAGGAGCAGGGCAGGGGTGGGGGCTGGGTGAGGGCAGAACAGTCAGCCCCAGATCTCCCGACACCCGCTCCCGAGGAAACGCATGTCAGGACTAATGACCCGTTGGCTGGTGGTGTCACCTAATGAGAGTGAGAGCTGGTCCCCAGGGCCGTGGTGAGCAGGCTGGCTGGTAAATTGCTGTTATTGTGCAGAACGGGGTGCCCGGCCGGGCCCTCGCCCACGCTGCGCGCACTGCCCCGCACCCCCCTGAGGGAACTAGGACCAAGCCTACCGGCAGGTGGCCTAACCTGAGTGTCCTCATTGGTGCCACGGGGACAATGCAGAGACCAGGACGTGTCTGCTCCCCATGCAGTCACAGCCGCCACTGGGCACGCTCTGCTAGCGGACCCTAGGCCAGGGGTCCGCCGAGGGGTCCCCAGCCTGGTGTCTTTCCTCCTTTCCCGCCTTGGCTGTCTCAGGCTATGCCTTGGGGGCCTGGACTGGATCCCCCTCCCGCGACAGAGGCTGCAGGCGAGGAGGGGAGGCCAGGCCTGTGCCAGCCTGCAGGGAGACACCGCCCCTCCTGCCACCCTACCTTAAGCAGGGGCTCCTCGTCCCGCAGGAAGATCTGGCGCTTCTTGGCGATGGTGGTGGTGCGGTAGAAGTCCACCAGCTCGTTGAGGGAGTTGAACTTCTCCTCCCACAGGAAGTACTTCCCCGAGGCCTCACGTAGCACCTTGAAGTGCTGTACTCGGTCCCCGTAGCTGCGGAGACACCCAGGCCCCCTCAGACCAAGGCCCTCCCAGCCCAGCACCGTCCCAGGGTCTCCTGTCTGCCCGCTGCCCCCACCGACCTTCCTCCTGCTGCGGCCTGGAGGCGGGCTCGGGTGCATTGGGGAGCCCGCTAAGCCAGCTCCACACACCCCCTGGGGGCACCCTGGCGGGGACCAACCTTGCTGCATGACCCTAAGCAAGTCATGTGAGTGACTTCGCTGAACCCCCATTCCCCTGGACAGCACCTGTCTTAGGGCCGTGTGCACAGAAAGTCTGGCAGTGGCTTACTGGCGGTGAGCGGCTAGCTGGGGTGAGCGTGTCAGACAGCACCCTCCACTTTGACTCCCTCCGCCCTCCCCGCCCCTCCCAGTCCCATCATCCCTTGGGAAGTAGGTCTTGAGCTGATCCTGACTCAGGTTGATGCCTGCTGGTACGAGGGGTACGCAGACATGCAGATGCTTCATACCCCCCCAGAACCTTCTATGGCTCCCCATTGTCCTCAAGTTAGACTCTCTCTCTCTCTCTATTCTTTTTTTTTCCTTCAGGATTTTGCTCTGGGGTGTGTGCACTGGCCAGAGAGAAAGAAAGAGGGAAAGTGAGAAAGTATCCCCCAGAAGGATGGCCATGCCACAACCTCTCCATTCTCTTGAGAGTTTAGACACACTCACACACACACACACAGTGTGTTTTTCAAGCTGCTGGGTCTGGGACTCAAACTGCAGTCAGCCATGTGGGAATTCAATACCTTAGCCACCACATCACCTGCTGACCCCCAGAGTAGATTTTTTTTTTTTATAGGTTTTTGCCATAGGATGTGTGTGCTCACCAGAGACCGAGAGAGAGAAAGCAAGAAATCACCCCCCAGGGGAGTGGCCACAGTGCAATCCCTTCTCCATTCTCCTCTTGGGATTTTGGGCACGCACACCCAACATGATTTTCAAACCTCCAGGTCCAGGATTCGAACCACAGTCAGCTATGAGGGAGTCCAGCACCTTAGCCACCTGCTGGCCTCCGGGACAGACTGGGAACACCTCAGGGTGCAGGCCTGGCTCTGATGGCACATCTGGCCCATTCCTTCATGCACGCTCTGAGGGAGTCACCGGGCTCCGTCCTTCCTCCTCTGCCAGCCCCGCCTAGCCGGCTGACCCACCCTCCCAGCAGAAGGTCTGGGGGCCATCTCGGCCTCCCCGCGTCACGGGCACCCTTCCGGATTGCACCCCAGCCTGCCTCTCTGGGCCTTGGTGTCCTCACTGCCAATTGGGGAACTCCTTGCCGGTGACATCCGGGGGCCGTGGGGAGAACACAGAACCACGCCAGCCCCACCAGGAGGAAGCCAGTTCAGGAGCCCGAGGGGGCCGTCCTGTTGGTGAGAGTGGTGGGGCCAGACGTGTAGACGGGGCCACAGGACGGCCGTGGGGCGGGGTTACCTGTCCTGCGCACGGCCACGGCTCATTTCATTCACACCTGGCACTAGATGAGGCTGGGCGGTAACGAGCCCCCGGGTCTGCGTTCCCACCCTCGGACGCGGTATGTGTGCAGGCCGGGCTCCCGCAGCCCGAGCTCCCCAGGCTCTCAGTGCTCTGGACCAGAGGGTGTGCCCTCATCCTCACCACCCGGGGGGCCACGCTTCCTGTGCCAGCCCTGCCTGCCTTCAGCTTCCGGCCTGGCCACCCGGGGTGGCGTGCTGCTTCCCTAAAGGTTTCCGAGGAAAGACTGCAGGTAAGGATGTGTCCAGGGCAACCACTGTCCAGTCTGCAGGGGGAGGCCAAGAGGGATTCCCCCTCCTGCCCAGTGAAGGGGTCAAACCACACCTGTCCTCTCCCTGCTTCAAAACACACCTCCAGGCTTCTGCACACACCGTTTCCTCCAGCTGATCTCGAACTCCTGCTCATGCTTCAAAGTCCAGGTAAAATGGCCCGTCCTCTAAAAACTGCCTCAGACCCCCCTAGTTAGAGTCAGGGGTCTCCTTGGGCCTCAGCCCCTGCAGAGCCTTCTTGTCAACTGCCTCGTAACTTCCGTCCTAGGCACTCGGCAGGCAGGGAGGCGGGAAGAGGCCCTGAGGGGCCTGTCTGGTTGGAACTCAGCGAATGATTCGCTGCCCAAGTCTTAAGTCATTAACCAGATGCTTCGAACCTAAAACCCTCTTTTGTCGCCCTGAGCTAGGGTCCCAGCCCGACAGGCGTCCGGCCTGTGGCAGCCTGTGCTCTGAGATGCGCTGGGCCCCTCCGGAGCTAGTCCTCCTCGCAAGGAAGCC